CTTAAGAGCTATTTTTAGCAGTGTTCAAGACTCGAGGTCTCGATCTTAAGAGCTATTTTTAGCAGTGTTGAAGTCATGGCCTCTCTAAACAGCCCACTTGAAGCAGCTTCCAAACTCGAAAATCGGAGTCGATTCCTCGACTCTTTTTCAGTTTTGGAATCGAGGCCTCGAGTCTTTTTGCCGTCGATCTTGCCCTGGCCTAGCTTCTATAGACAATTGGGAGTGGAATGCCAAATAGACAGCATTTTTTGAGGTAACATATTTCTGGAGGGTGGAAAATGGGCTTTGCACTAAACCAAATGTCATCGAGGAAATGATCCCGCTTTTTAAGACAATCAAGCAATCATGAACACATTGCAATGCTCTGATCTTTGTCATCTGGGCCTGAGTGAAGATAAAAATGGTACAGAAGCATGTTAAGATCTGCAATGAGAATGCAGACTGTTGAGGTGTAGGAAAGTCCTAGCTACAGACAGACGTCTCATGGGACTGGCCTACTGAAATCTGCACCATGGTGATGCTTAAAGGCCTGCAAAAAGGTGCGTATTTGATGTGAATTGGTCATTTGGGGCACATCTTTAGTTCTGATTCGCTATAAATCCAAACTGACGGAACTTCTCTAGTCATGACACCCAGGGCCACCGCCTTCCTTGTTGTTGTTGTTGTTGCTGTTGTGTTTTTGTTGGTGGTGTTGTAAGTTTTGTTTTTGTTTCTGTTTTGTGGTTGTCGTTTTTTTTACTTTACAATTTTAAATTTTTTGTATCACTTTCATGTTATAATATGTTAAAGAAATGTGTGTCGAAACGTATTGATGCGAGTATGCCATGGAGATGCAGTTGATATAAAATACAAAAGTCAAATTTAAAGAAATTATGTATTAACAGAAAGAGTTGAGCTTTTTTAATATAAGCTTGAACCACACGTGTATTCTTTGGGTAAAACGAAACACATCGAGATAATAACATGTATTTATACTGTATTGAAGAAGTAGGATAAATAGAAAGAAAAAAGAACGGGAAAAAATGTACGACCTTCCAGCTTAGCCCTCCGACAACCCGCAAACATGTAATGAATAGACAGCTAGATGGGTTGATTGTTAGGTGGGTAGATAGGTAGGCATGCAGATAGGTAGGTAGGTAGGTAGACAGGTAGGCAGAAAGAAGACAACACACAAAAATTATAAAGAATATTATATACAGACCGATTGATAGACAGATAGATAGACAGACTAACACACAGACGCACAGACACACAGACACAGTCATCCATTGAGCCAGCCAGTCAGACAGACAAACAGAAACACAGACGCACCGATAAATAGACAAACACTCATTCAAAGAACCCTATCAAAGCAACATACAACTTACCATCTATCTTATTAGATAGATTTTGCAACAGAACAATGACATACAATGCTTAATCGGTCAAACAGTATGCTTCCCGGGAAGCTGAGAATGTTTCGGAGTGTTCTATGGTCTGCTGGGGTAATAATATAGTGTAAAGCGCATAGAGCTTGCTGCTGAGCGGGGATATGCGCTATACAAATGCTATCTATTATTATCTATTATTATTAATTTTACTGCACAGATCTAGACTAGATCATATACATACCATTAATTTCCTGACACCCCATGAATTTCTGGAACAAGGCGAATTCGTTCTGGGAGGGTAGATCTATAGGCATGTGCAGAAACCCATCATCCCTGCAGCAGAACTCTAGTCTAGTTCCGTGGGCAGTAAACGTACCGTCAGGTAAGTCTCCGGAATTGAAGCTTCCGTGAGTGGAATTGCTTACGTCAGCAAATTGTACGAAGCCCTGGTTGAAACCTGTAGATTTCGATGTTGATTTATTTTTTTATTTTTTTTTTTCAAATTTTTATTTTAGTTATTTATAATATGAAAATGGTGTAATTTTAACAGTTGTTAGGAAGGTCACCGGAATTTGAATTTGGGTGAGTTGAATCGTTTACGTCAGCAAATTGTGCGAAGCCTTTCTTGAATCCTGCAGATTTTGATGTTTGTTTTCTAAAATTTGTTTCGTATATTTTGTTTTAATTTCAATTTCTTAAAATATGAAAATGGTGTAATTGTTGTCAGGAAGGTCTCCAGAACTGGAACTTCCGTGAGTGGAATTGCTTACGTCAGCGAATTTTACGTTGCCTTATGTAAAAACCTGTGGATTTTGTTGTTTGCTTTTATTTGTTTTGTTAGTTGTCGAGTTTTTTTTGTGGTTTTTTTTAGATTTCAGTTACTTATAATATGTGTGACTACGCGATGGCTCTCGTGAAAGCTTGCTCGTTGTCTTGCTTTGGATAAATAAAAAATATCTATTTAATCTTGAATAGAAGTTGAGATAGTTGTGAATGAAGGAGGTGGGGGTCACTGGTTTCAGAGAGAAGATTAGTGAGAAAATGACCCCCAAAAATGAGTTATTTCCATAACTTGAGAATCGGTGGAAACTGAAAATTTACATATTTTGTGCCTTTAAGAATCGTTTTTTCTAAAATCTCACACAGTAATGTGTTCTCTTATGGGCTTGAAAGGTGTTAAGCCAAAACACGATAATTCTATTCATATTCACAAACTTGCAGGAAAAAAGACAATTTCTTTACTTTAATTATTTTGTCAAGCGCCTGCTTTCACCACGACGCATCACATAGGAAAAAGATGTAATTATTGTGACAAAGCTCACCAGAATTTGAGCTTTTGGGAGTGGAGCTGTTTATGTCAGAGAATTGAAAGTAGCCCGACGTAAAATCTGTCTATTTTCTTGTTTGTTTATCAGCTTACGTAGATCTATTTCGTTGCAGTCTTTTTGGGTTGGTTTTTTTTAAAAAGAATTTGTTTGTTTTTGAGGTGTCATTTCAGTTACTAAAAATATTTAAATTTTGTAATTATACATGATCGGTGATGACAGTCGCAAATCTAACTCTTCTCCCTCTTCTTCTTTTTCTTCATCATCTTATTATTATTATTATT